GACTTCATTTAACCGTGCGAGGAGTTTGGTAATTTGGTTGGCTACCAGTGTTTCTGTTCGACCATCGTAGCTTCAGTGTTGGAGTGCATGCTAATTTGATAAATTTAACTTTCTATTCTTTTTTAAGATCGCAGCCATGCTTCTGCTTCGTGTGCTTTCAGATAACACACCTATCAGTCGTGTACGTCGCTGCAACTGACCTACTGCTGGCCTGATCCACTTCTAGCGGCCAGCATCTCAAGTTCGCTTACCTCAAACACAAAACTGTCTAAATTTTCAATTGGGTTTATGTAGTCCCGTATACAAAGTGGACCAGGTTAAGATCTCTTGAAGGGTATATCAATGGCCACCTATATGTCACACTGTCAGAACTCTTTATACTATCCGATCTAAACCTAACACAACAGTTCATTGAAAATGAACCTCTCTTTGAAATTGATCCGCTCAATTCAAAGAAGAGGTTTTTGTTTGAACTACTTGCGTGATCATTTATTTTTCACCTTACCCGTCTTACTTCAAAATGTTCGTCGTGCTTTTAATTAGCTTTAATGAGCCTCCTGTCTGCTTCTTTTTTCTGTGGAGAGTGCACCAGATTATTCTGATGAGTGTGGCACGAATATTTTTGAGGTTTGCCTACCATTTTTCGCACAAATAACCGCTCCCACTAAATAACAAGGTGCTGTGACGAATCAAAGCCCATTATTCCTGATTAGTATTGCCTAAACTTCGGTAGAGTACTGAAGGAAAACATCGAAATGCAGTTTAATCCACATGATGACCCAGACTTCTTTAGAAATCGTCCCTGTTTTGAGATTCTGAGTGGCCTAAAGATGGGTGTCTGGCGCCATCCTTGTTGGACATGTACGTAGCAAGTATCAAATTGGAAATACAGATGTTAGGGAATCCAGAGTGTTACAGACTGCAAGTAAATTGCTCATCGGCTACTAAGCGATAAATAAGAGTGTTGTTGATATGAATTAGAAAATTTTGTTACTTAGGTCAATCGTAATGCAGATCCACATCGTGAGATCGGTCCCAGAAATGATCGACTAAATGAGACTCATAAGATCCACTGGTAACAAACTGCGGTGGTGATTATCCGTAAAATAGGATGATCGCTTGGCCGACCTTTGTAACAGATTAAAGATGAATATCTCAGCATGGTAGGGATGCAGAGCAGAAAGGGTTTTTACTAGCAACATTACAGCCACAATATGCCTTGCGACGCTGATTGACAAAGATTCCAAAGCAAAAGTGGGTTGCTCCTTTCTAAGCAACTGGAGATCGTCTACAAAAGCAATATTTTAGAGGACTTATTGGTAAGGACTTGAATGAAAATCCCAAGCAGAGTGGACAGTGAAGTTTAATTCCAATGATTTAGACGAAGCATAATAGGCGTGACTGGAGTTTTGTTTTTTGAATTTGTTCCATGACTGCCAATGGTTTTGATTTCAGTTCATGCAACAATAAAAACCTCAACCACACCGTATTTGTTTCAATTTTAAGGTTTTATTTTAGCCGACGGTTATAGTGTTCAGCCTAGAGACCAAACCGACACTCAGGATAAGTAATTTTACTTGAGATGGCCATTGTAAAATTAACTTTCCCTAATTCTGGTTTTATGCAAGCGGTTGATTATGCCATTGTTCATGGTCTGAGGCAACGGCGAAATGCAACATCGAAATTAGTCGTTTATTAATTTTTACCATAACGCACGTACCAGAGTTCTGTATTTCAACTGAGTTGCACATTCTGCCATGGTAAACTTCGAAAAGTTAAGCATTTCCGTTATTTGGTGCACACAGGGGTTTAGTCAACTTAGACCAACGACACGTTCACGAGAAAACAAAAGCCAGACACCGATAGTGGTGTCAGGGACGTTTTTATTCACACACAGGGTTTCTTTTCAATAAAACTACTTCGAATGTAACCTAACTTACATATTTGACTAACATATTAATAAAATTTGGACATATTAAGGCAGTATAGTTAAAGCTTGCAAATGTAAATTTCCTGAGGTTTAGTAAATATGGAGACGTGGATGTTTAGAGCATTAGCTCAGAGCCATAATCCAAAACGGAATGTCTGAAAAAGCAGCCCGCTCCGTAAGGGCAATAACCCGTCTGCCTGAAGTGGGCACAGCTCTCCGTCTTGTACTTGGGATGTCCGCTGGCGTTCCGAAGTTCATTTGGACCGTGGGCGAATTGGCAGAATAAGCCTGCCCTACAGAATCCCCATCTCTCAAAATGTGTACAAGGCTTTGTCTTGTAGCGGATATTTTTTGTAACTAGTCTCTGGAGGGCGGAAATCTCCCGAGGAGTGATACTGGTCTAAATACAAAAGTGACAGGGAATCAATGGTTGGCAACCGACCGAATTGGGAAACACGCTGACTGAAAACGACCCAAGTCAGTATTGACACTTCACTGTGTGTGTGGGGGGGGAGGGTAGAGGACATCAGAGCTCCCCTTCTCATGCCCATCTGTGGGCCATTGGGGCTGTGACCGGACCACATCGACATCACATGATGCAAGTAGGTCTTCTGAATAATGTCGGTCATTGTTAGCATGGGCGACTTGGTACAAAAGCGAGTTACCAATGGCTGGTTTGATTCGGCGCGAAAAGCAGCTTTGCCACTTTAGTGTGCTAATTAAAAGGACAAATCAGACCAAAGTATGAATTTTGTGCGCAGTGCATGAAGGTAAACAATCAATGTTGTCTGCAAACAAGATCACCACTTTGCGAAACACTAAGCACATGTCTACACCTAACCCATCGGCCAACATGGAGAACAGCTAGAAATTGAGGCCTACTTTGCCTTTCTATTCACGAAATTCTTCTAATCGTCATCATGACTTATCGAATACTTCGGAAAATGTGCTAAAAATCAAGGTGAAAAGTCAGAGGTGAGGACTTACAGCATACATAGAAAGGTGTCCTAGCAACCCGTTTGTAGGGTTTGACTGAAGCAGTTCTGCATCCCACAAATTGTGATAATAGGTGCTGTCGTTCCACCTGAGCCCAGGTTCTTGGTTGTCATTCCATGATCCCCGCTGAATAGAGCCAGTAGATGGACCTGAAGCAGCATAGAAGTTCGCCATTCGGGTTTGGGCTTCGGCTGCCTGAAAGTTGCCTGCGCGACCACGGATCCTTCTCGGCCCTCTATCAGACCATGATTGTGTTTGTAGCATCACACCGTCGACTAGAGGCTCACTGATGTCCCAATCCGTTTGTGAATTCACTTGAGGCATTTGATTAGAGGTTAAGGGTGGTATGTACCGCGGTGGTGAGGGTGAAGACTCGATGGTAAATCTTCGAACACTACCCCATATACTTGTTTGAGGGCTTCGAAACGATTGATCCGTCAGTGTACTTTCATGTGAAGTACGTTCCTGCGATAAAATACTGCTGCTGGGGGAAACGGGTTCATAAAGGCGGAATCCACGAAGATACTCGCTAAGCGTTTCATCATAGCAGTATGCAGAAGAGAAGCTCTCCATGACTGGTGCTGGAATAAACTGCGGTCAACAATTATTTATTTTCAGGGGTTTTTTGTCGCTGATGCAGCCATTGGTTAATCGTCGCATGGTTGTGCGTGCTCATTGGTTGTTTAACGACCTTCGTTCACACGTGAAAAGGCGCGTGAAAGCAACGTGGTGACCGCGCGTTGATCACGACTGATTACTACGTGCTGTGCCTGTTTTTGAAAGAATTCGCTTGATTTACGTGAATTAGTTGCAGGGATACCCTAGTTCAGAGTGATATATACGCCTGCAAATTGCGCGATAAAACTAAACTGGATTATTTCGATTTGAACAGTGCAAAACTAATTTCTCCTTGGGACAGTCTTCAAATCAAGCGAAAATTCAATCACTAATTGAGCTTCTTCCTTATCTTTGATTGATGTAACAAATTCAGAATGTTGGTTATTGTTCAGTGACAATTATGCCACATTGGGCTAATCAGCCGGTTGCCAAATGAATCCAGTCATACTTTTAAGATGACTTTAAAGGGATTTTATGTGTGGTACCCATTCGTCATCTACGCATTACCACCAAACATGTCACCGTTTTTATTTAAATCGGAGGCTTATTTCATAATTTGAACGCTTAAAATGAATAGCAGAATGTGTTTATAGTAAAGATATTCTGATAATTGGCACAAATAAATTGGCTTAGCTTCTTGTCAGCCCACATAGACAAAACCCTTTAAGTGTATTAACTGACTGAATGGCATAGTTGCATTGCAGATCAAAACTTGCACCCATGAATGTGCTCCTTAGTCACTTTATCCGTAACTTTGCTTTAGGTCAGTAGTGTAACTCGCCACATTTTTATGGAAATTAACTACTGTTTTTGCACTCATATTCGTCATAAGATGCCTGGAGCAAAAAGTTCGCGAGACAGTCAATTGCAGGGCATTGTATCGGAGTTGTCAATATAAGTGTATGCGTGATATTTTATTACCTAACACTGCGGCACATGACCATTCCAGCAAAAAGTGCTAACTTTACCGTTAATAAGAGTATATGCGCAATGATAGTAAACCCGAGCATCGATGTTGTAGCAACTACGTATATGTTAAGCTCATGTGTTAAATGGTCCCACAACCATCTCGGCAGTCAGCTACAAGTTACCATAACATTAGGCTCAGCATGCACCACCGTTTAATCTTCTCTTCGATTTTGCCTTTCAGGATAAAGTGACTAAGGGGCACGTTCATGGGTGAAAGTCTTGATCTGCAATGCAACTATGCCATTCAGTCAGTTAATACACTTAAATAACATTCCATTGTAACCTGTTACCTCACGTTCTGAAGCATTTTACCTTGAGTTTCTTGACACCGTTTACCAATAATTGTCACTCTTACATTGCGAAGAGAGAGCTTGGCATGGAACCTCTAAATGCCCAGACAGAAATGTAGAAATCCATCTTTCCTGGTCGGAACATGTTAATGTACATTGCCAATCCCGTTGCAAAGTAAGCATCGCTCGAGGGCTTCAACAGATAAAGGACATGATGTCTCAGTTGCTATTAGTTTCTGCACATTCTCTGTTCAAGAGAATCCTGATAACTCCAAGAACTGAGCGAAACCTAGGATAAGCAGCATAACTGAAACACAAAAGAAAAGTGCAGTATAATTGGGAGTTATGCTTCATTGCTAATCAAAAGTCAGTGTTTTGCAAGCAGAAAAAGTAGGCAGCGAAAACCATCGGCTGTTGATGTGAAGGATCGATTTAAGCTGGGTGTAGACAAAGGCAGTCCATTCCAACAGATTAAAAAATAAAATTCACAATTGCCAAAAATGGATGCTTTCTTGTAACTTAATTACAATAGGCAATTAGGGGACTTTTGAAAGCAGAGAGGTCAGCAAAATACAAGAATTTGCGAAAAAAGTACATCGTGTAAGTGTAACCATTAGTAATTATTTGGCAATAATACATATTTTTCGTGATTACCTTTATGAACAAGGCGTTTGGCATGCTTTCAGCAAATTGATGACCTGATATCTAGAACGCTGTGACATCTAAACCATGGCAGCCAATTGCCATGACGTCAAACACCTGCTAACAGCGCCAGCATATGGCCACAATCGCAGCATCACCGTTGCACTACTCTGCCGCCGGGTGACCTCTCACACAGTGGAGAGATGACTCACCACCAACACACCTTGTTTACTACAATTACCAAAACAGCGGCTTGTGCGCTGACATAAGTTCTTAGTATTTATGTGCAAACAGGACTCAAGATTTGGCATGACATTCAGTTAATATAGTGTGGTACACAGCTCAGAACGTGGGCTTTATCGAAAATAGGGAAAAACTAGTGCCACTGAAAAAATCAATAAGGTATTACAGGATTGTGATCAAAGCTGTACCACGGATGACTCATCGTTCCAAAATCAGGATTCTGCGTCTATCACTTTTTTAATATGTACGGTCTTCAAACAAGCACATTTCGCCGACGACGGTTTCTTGGAAATGCCATGAATCGCATTCCTCCTACGCACCTATTTTTTCGATTAAGCAAATGACAGCAATGTAAGGTCGCTTATTAGTTGCGAGTTGAATCAAGGAACTTCCAGACACTATTTAGTATGTTGAAAAGATTACATTGTGAATTTGTATGCAGGTTTAAGATGTCAAAAGGTCGGTTTCACATGCGGTCTGTGTTTAGCCTTAACACGAAAATCACTGGTAATGGTTAAGATCCCAATTTAAATTATCCTCCAACTGAAAGTAAAGCGTATATTTGGGATATTATTCTCCTGCTTATGGACCGGTGACATCAAGATATTCAAATGAAGAGATTTGGGCGAATCTTTGGACAGATCTTGCTCAAATTTTCCAATGTTTAAACTGCGTTTAAAGAAGTTGTGAAAGACGGTATTTACGCACTCATTGTGGGTTGCTGCCTTACTTCCCAATGTTAATTCTTGATTTTTTGGTGATTTCATCAATCTGAATTGTGATAGCTGCTCGCATTGTATACTCTTTTCACGTCATTAAAAGGTTCTGGGGGTGTAAGCAGCAATTGGCACGGGGACTTTCATTTCGCATTCCAGGCTCTCACGAGAATGAAAATGCGGCACGTTTCAAAAGACGAATTTAAGCACCCACTGATTACTGAAACTTTCGACATGCCACGTGATTTGTGCTGACAAGATCAGAGTTTTGATTAAAAAGCCTGGACACAACTAATAAGGGTTTGACCCCGATTTAGTTGCCATAGTAACTTAGAACATTCTAATATGATGAAATCCGGGTTAATTTCATCTTGGCTTCTCGCGACGGTGTAGCTGAAAAAAACCTCGGGTCCTCACAAAAAGTGTTCCCGCTATGGGTAAATTCCGCATCATTTAGAGGTGAAAATGTTAAATTATGTGGGTTTTATTTAAACAACTGAGTTTGTCCCGCCAGATGACTAGATTTGTAAATAATTTTGCCATTGAGGGTTCCTGAGGCCCGTCAGCCTGCCAGATGCGGCGGTGTGAAGGGAGGTCTCCTTTAGCACCCGCAATTCGAATAAGGCTATCTCAGTTTAAACATTTATTATCCATATACTTCCTAATTTGCATTTACTAGAATGCTTAAGTAGAGCCATTACAACACTTGATTTTACTCAGACGGTTAGCAACAAATAACATTAACTTAAATCACACTATTATGCTAAATAGGGTTGCAAAATTGTGCCGGTTTCCCGTTGCAAACTTTTTCGTTGACAAAAATAATTTCATCTTTCTCTGCAAAAATTTTATATGAGGACACAGATATATGGCACCGTGTTTACCACGATTTTTGGGTGGAATCACTCAATTTCATCTAGTCATTTTATTTGCGCGTCAAAAGGTGCTCGCGTGAGAAAAGTCATGAAAACCCGAACAATTGCGTCAGTGGTGGTGGGAGGGGGGAGGGAGCCACCGCGGACGCATGACGGTGGACCTCTTTAATTCGACCTCAACCTCGTAAGTCGTATTATTGGTTAAGAACGTGCTCCATCCTCATTTCTATACCACCACAGCACGAGAAGTTGAGGCGGTCGCTTCAATATCGATAGCGCTTCATTTCGAGAGTAGCTAGACCATCAAGTAAAAAACTGTGCTGTCGATCGTGCCTGAAGGAAATTGTCTACAGCAAAGCGTTGACAAGTATCTGAATTTATTCAGTACAGTGACTGTTACTGAAAGAGTTAAACAGAATTGGTCGTTTCTAAACCGTGGGGACAGCGACCCGATAGGTCAAGACAGTTTATGCCCATATGTTGTGGTCGCCTGATCACCAGATCACCTTTCTTGAATTACACGATTATTTCGGCCTCTGTCCCATTTGTGTGGTTTTGTGTAGACACCAGTGGTGCTTTTGCAAATCACCACCCAGCCTCTGTTCCCGCATCACTAGTGGCAAATTTGCGGTCAATGGGGTTTTTGAATTCATGTTCTGGTTACTAACTGATGATTACAAGTCATCTTAATTAAAGGTCACAAGTTTCTCAAATTTGCAGCCGCTATTTTATTCCTCAACAATCGGACTATCTTCCAAAATCGAAGCTAAATTCAATTACTTAACCTACCGATTTTATGCCTATCATGAGTTTTTAAAGGAAACCCGTGTGAGTTTTGATTTTAAGCCTATTTATTCGAAATACATAAAATAATGCTAAAAGCAATCACCAGAGACAGACATTTCACACAGTTCTGAAATAATTATACAAGGAAAATTGCGGGGCAGAAACTGGAAATAAGCTCACGAGGATCGCGGATACTACGAAGAGCCACAACCGATATTCCCGAAGAAGATCGTGAACTCTTCTAGACGTTGTTGGAGTGGCGATTACAAAGGTAAACGTTGTTTGGATATTTTCGAGTGAATGAGAAAAATTAAACTGTTTAGAGGTATGTTTTTTTAAATATTTGTCATAACACGTAAAACTTTGATTACTCTACACGTTTTCAGTAACCGTATGAATTTGTTGTAAAAACAAGTAACATCGGAACTAAAAGA